GACGACTGCAGGGCATGCAAAGTAACACAACAGATCTGAAAAGCCACAACCCAATTCAGGGCAGACTCAAAGGATATCCTAGTGCTAAAGATTTTCTATTATTTGAGAGTAGCAAGAGACAGAGCCAAACTTGCCCCACCCCAGGGAGCTACCTGGGCAGTGCCACCTTGCCCAAATCTGCATTAATCCTTTGGAGTCTTCCATTTTGTGAGGCCTCACCACAGAGAAGACCAGAAGAGGATTGAATGGGATGGGATCCATGGAATGGTGATATTTTCTACTAAATCTCTCTCTGTCGCTCTCTTTCTTCCCCCCTTCCCAGCTCCCACCCTCCCCCCTCCTTTTGCTATTTCTTTCTCCCTCTCTCTTCCTTACATTTACTGTTCCATAAAATCCAAACTATTGACTTTGGCACATGGTCATGTTTTATTAAGGCATCTCCTTAATAATTTTAATAACCAGATCATAACAACCCCCTGAAACTTGAACAGAACTCATTCGCCTATAAGTAGTTTAAATAAATACTATAGGAAAAAAAGGATAGACTAGTATATTTAGGAAATGTTGCATTTCTTCGGTGAGACAAAAAGCACCATCAGCAGACCATATATGGTTCATCCCCTCAGCTGTACATGCCACCAAACTGAAGACTGGCATTATCCCATCCTGTATTTCCCTCTGGCATTCTCTTTCAGAGCAGAGATGTGACAAAACCAGAAAGTACAACTTGAGTCAATCTTTACCTTCAAACGAAATTCAGGACTCCCTCACAAAGACCAATGCTTTGTAAGTTCAGGACTCCCTCACAGAAACCAATGTTCTGTGAATTTAGGAGTCCCTAGCAAAAACCAATGTTGTGCGAGTTTCCGAGTTGCTCACAGAGACCAATTCTCCGCGAAATCACAGGACTCGTAGAGACCAATCTCTGCGAACCATTCGCTTGGCTAATGCCGAGTGCGAATGAGCAGCAGCGCCGGCTGCGGGCGCTGAGGCCACGGCGCCGTCACAGACGCTGAGGGCCCGGGCGCGGTTACCGGGCAACCGCGGCACCGAGCCTGGGGCCGGCCCGGCCCGGGGCCCGGGGCGGTGGCGCTAGGAGGGCTTTGGTCCCGCATCGGTCCTACTTCGTTGCTCCCTCGCTTCCCTCTCGTTCCGCCCTCGATCTGCCCGTTTCCCCGCCCGTTTCTCCGCTCGGTCCCCGCCTGTTCCAGCCCCGGTGCTCCCTCGGTCCCCGGACACAGCGGGCTGGGGTCGCTCCCGGGCCCCGAGGCAGCGCTCGATGTCGCCAGAGCCTCGGCCCCACCTCTGGGCTGCTCCTCCACAAAGGGAAAAACCCAGGGTCTCAACAGTTTGTGTTCAGCGATAGTACAAGTGGGAATCAGCCAGCTGCAGGTCCTGGGCACTGACATTAAGCATCTCGTTCTTCTTAGGGACACTCAAGTAGCAGGAGTAATTTTCTGGTGTAATGTTTGGCACCTAATCTGCAGCCAGGAATCAGTGCTCCAGATGACTGAAGTTCTCCCATCCTGTATTTCCCTTTGTCATTCTCTTTCAGAGCAGAGATGTGACAAAACCAGAAAGTACAACTTGAGTCAATCTTTACCTTCAAACGAAATTCAGGACTTCCTCACAAAGACCAAAGCTTTGCCGGTTCAGGACTCCCTCACAGAAACCAATGTTCTGTGAATTTAGGAGTCCCTCACAAAGACCAATGCTTTGCCAGTTCAGGACTCCCTCACAGAAACCAATGTTCTGTGAATTTAGGAGTCCCTAGCAAAAACCAATGTTGTGCGAGTTTCTGAGTTGCTCACAGAGACCAATTCTCCACGAAATCACAGGACTCGTAGAGACCAATCTCTGCGAACCATTCGCTTGGCTAATGCCGAGTGCGAATGAGCAGCAGCGCCGGCTGCGGGCGCTGAGGCCACGGCGCCGTCACAGACGCTGAGGGCCCGGGCGCGGTTACCGGGCAACCGCGGCACCGAGCCTGGGGCCGGCCCGGGCCGGGCCGCGCTGCTTTGCAGAGGACATTGGCACTTTTGCTGCTGACTTGGCTTTAGTGCTTTCTGAAGGGTCTTTCTGTATTTATGAAAGATTAAAATGTAGTGATAAAGGCACCTACGGCACTGCTCTTTGTATAGCACTAGGATGCTATCCTGGCTGGAGCCCCAGCAGGGGCTGAGGGAGCTGGGAAGGGGCTGAGCCTGGAGCAAAGGAGCTCAGGGGGGCCCTTGTGGCTCTGCACAACTCCCTGCCAGGAGGGGACAGCCGGGGGGTCGGGCTGTGCTCCCAGGGACAGGGACAGGAGCAGAGGGAACGGCCTCAGGCTGCGCTCAGGCTGGGCACCAGCAGGAATTTCCCCATGGAAAGGCTGCTCAGGCCTTGGCAGGGGCTGCCCAGGGAGCTTGGCAGTGCCCATCCCTGCAGGTGTCCCAGGAAGGGCTGGAGGTGGCACTCAGGGCTCTGGGCTGGGGACAAGGTGGGCATCAGGCACAGCTTGGACTCCGTGGTCTCAGGGAGCTTTCCCAACCTTGATGATTTCATGAGTCTGTGATTCTATGAAGGGATGATTCAAAACAGATTTTAACTCCAAATATATCATACACAAATATTACAAAGGTCAAAATTCACGGGAAAGAAATTTAAGATTATTCTTTAAGATTGAAATAATCATATGTCAATGTTGCATACAACATTGTTACATACAATATTGTAAAGCCGTATAAAAGAAGAGCTTTGTTACCCTTGTAAAATTATGGCTCAGGCCTGCTGCTTCAGCTAAGTACAGCTAACAGCTAGCCTGACAAGTTCCTGTGAGAAAGGAGAAGAAAGAAGAAGAAAGACTTCTACCCACAGCTTCTATCCAGGAGACAAGAATGTAAACCTCGTTAGGGAGGAAAGGTTTTGACTAACATGTACTTTAGCAACTACCAACCAATGAACCGAATTGCAATAAATTACTAACCAATTAAAATGAAAGACAATGCCTTTAGAAAACCATCTAAATGTGAGCTGTGAAGAATAAAGATGGGCTGTTGTGCATGAAGATAGCGACATGTAAGGACAGCATTACATGAACTACCCTTGGGTTTAACATCTTCAGTGAAAAGTTAAACTGGACCTGTCTATTAGGAAAGGATTATTGGTTCAAATTTTCTTGTCCTTGAAGAGAATTCAAAAGTCTTTATAGATATATTACTGCTTATGTAAATACAAACACCTTCATGTTAACATGTAGAGATACATTCTGATTAACATTATTGACAGACCAATGGAAGAGGAAAAATAATCAGATTTTATAGGCTGACTTCTTCCCTCTAATACCTGGCCTTTCTGGCTGAGATGCCAGACTCATGACCATACTGCTTAATTCTTTTTCAGTTAAAGATGATGCAGAGTTGTGAGAAAAGCTGTGCCTCCAATGAGGCCTGGCCTTGTACACATCTAGTAAAAAAGATATTTCTGTGTTTGAAGTTTCTCAAAAGGCAGATCTTTGCCGTGGAAATGCAACTCTCAGTCAGTGACTGTGTTGGCAGAAGATGAAATAAAATGCAGCTTGTGCCTTTTCTGTGTTTATCTTTTTGTGCGCGGGTTTTAGAGTTTGTTTTGTGTTGCTGCCTTTGCCCTGCTCTTTTCCCCGCGGGTGTTTTGGGGGAGCAGAGGTGCAGCGGCCCCGGGGGCGCTGTGGCGGCCGAGCCAGGCGAGCCCAGAGCGGGCCGCATTCACGGCCGCAGGGCCCTGCTGGGATCCATGGATAATGAGAGGATTGGCCCGCGCAATGAAGGGATGACTATTGTGTGAATATTAAGAGAAGCTTTATTGATGTGTAGTTATGTCATTGCACTTTAAATGTCCTCTCTTCTCCCCATAGTTTCCCTTTATTGTAGGGCTTTCCCTCTGCCCTGTGGGCGGCACAGGCCCCTGCTCTGGCGCAGAGCTGCTTGATTACTTCTGTCTGATAGGAGGTAGGAGCCTTACCTACTGTGTTTGTGCGCCTTGAAAACGTGTTGCTATAGGGTTTTTTTAAGTTTATTTCGTTTTCTGACTAAATTCTGATTGTTTTATATAGTTTTACAGTTACTGGAGAGATTGAAAAGCGGTAAATGCAACGCCTTATTACCTATCAAATTTTAACATGGTCTGATATTTTTAACAAGAATGCTAACAAATTTGCCATATAAAATGATGCCAGATACAGTCACAAAAAGCTGTTGGGTTGTTCAGCAATATGCTAAATTGCACGTTATTCTATTTATTTTTCAGTAACCCTGCACTTTAAAAAGTCGTACTGAATTTCTGTTTCCATGGAATTTGCAGTTCCCATGAGTTTTTCTCATAACTGATTTACTTAGAATTCCAATATGCTTTTTACAACTTTAATCCCTCCAGTACACCATCATGCTGTTATTTCATTTATGGCTTATTCACCTTTCAGTTGTCTAACAGATAATAACCAGTGAAAACCTTCATGAGATAATACCCTCACAAGAGTGAGCTGTTTCAACATCAGAACATAGGAGCCTTTTTTAAATGAATGAAAAGGGGGAGATGTCATAGACAGGTAGAATAATGATAAAAGAAAGGCCTTATGAAATCAGGCCTTGTTCTGCAATATTAACAGCTGGCCTGTCATCTCTTCTAAGTGCAGAGAAGCAGTTACAAGTTCCCATGTGAAGCTATTTTGAGAATGAGAGTTTGTTAACAATCTATTCTGAGGGTGAAAAACAAATGTACCTGCAACAACAAGGGATTTGTCCCATGAGAATCAGTGCAGAGAACAAGTAAACAATACAATAGAGAGATTTGATGCACAAGTAAAATATATTTTATTAACCAATAGCTTACTTAGAAAGAAATCTATTAACTAATTAAAGTTGCATACAAGGTCTGAAACTGTAGAAACTGAGTTGAGTGATTAAAGAATAATCTTTCCCTGCCTGAAAAAACTGAGTCCCACGAAGGGGTAACCTCCCCATCAGCACAGATGACACCCAGTCATTGTGGAACATCATCATCTGACTGTCCCCTCTGTAACTTTGCTTTGCATCTCCAGCTGAGATGACTAAAGATTGCTTTGGTCTCTACATTTTTGTTCAGGTTTCTTCTTCACCTTCTCCTGAGGCTTATTGGTCTTCTGACCTTGGTTTCCAGCTGCATGCTGGAACTTGTTTCCCTTCTGGATCACAGGTATCTGCACAGTACCCTGAACTCTGTTCCAGTAGGAGAAATTCTGCTGCAATGACTCATAGATCTGAAACCTCTGGATCAAGTTCTCCGTCTCAGCTGCGTCCTCTGGGATTTCAGTTTCTCCCTTCTTTGGGGCTTTGGTTCTCCCCTTCTTTTGGGCTTTGGTTCCCCCCTTCTCTGGGGCTTTGGTTTCATCCTTCTTTGAGGTTTTGGGTTCCCCCTTCTCTGGGGCTTTTGCTTCCCCCTTCTTTGGAGCTTTGGTTTCCTTCTCTGGGATTTTGGTTGCCTTTCTCTCTGGGGATTTAGTTTCCTTTTCTGGAGGTTTGTTTTTCTTCTCTGGGGGTTCGGTTGCCTTCTTTAGGATTTTCGTCTCCTTCTTCTCTGGGGGTTTGGTTTCCTTCTTTTCTGGAGGTTTGTTTTTCTTCTCTGGGATCATGGTTTCCTTCCTCTCTGGAGCCTTGGTTTCCTTCCCCTCTGGAGCCTTGGTTTCCTTCTTCTCTGGGGGTTTGGTTTTCCCCTTCTCTGGTTTTGGAGGTTGCTTCCCCACAGAGACACCCTTCTTGTCCTTCTTCCGCTTCTCTTCCTCCTTCCGCCTTTCTTCCTCCTTCCGCCTCTCTTCCTCCTCTAAGGCTTTTGCCTCTTCCTCACGCTTTTGAGCCAGCTGCTTCAGCTCCCTTCAGCAAACAAAACAGAAAAAATCGCTGAGAGTCCCCACCAGAAACTTGGGCTCAGCAGTCCTGGCCGGCCCTGCACTTCATTCCTTGACCCTGAGGCCAGGCAGAACCACGAGACCATTTCCGTGAATTTTTCTCAACCCACAGAGGTTGGGAACATCCCAAGTGATGCCATTGGTGCAAGGGGACCTCCAGGACCAGCCAAACCTGAACCTTGCCATCATAAGGTCTTGGCTGTGCAAGCTCCCTCTTAAGGCACAGCCAGACACCTCCAGCCCACTGCCAAAGGCTGATCCAGCAGCTCTCTGTGCTGATGCCTGAAAATGCTCTTTGTCTCTTGATTTCCCAGTTTAAAGCAGATCACAGATTGCTGACATCTGCTTATCTCTCCTACAATTCTCACTCAGCTCATTCAGCACCCCTCAGGGCACAGCCTGCTCCTTAATGAGAATAATCCTATCAGTCAGAAAGCAAAGGCTGCAGGAACTCCTCTCCTGCAAGACAGGCTCTTGTCAGCCAGATTTCCTGCAGGAACCCAGCTGTGAGCAAGCAAACCGGTGCTCTCTGCCATGAAAGCCATCTGAAACAGCCTCATCTGTCTCCTCCCCATGAAACCAACTTCAGCCTGGGCTGAAGGAAGTGCTGATACACAGACTTGCTTTAACCAGCCTCCACTCTCAGCTCCACACTTTGCCTGTGTGTCCTGAGCTGGGCTGCCTTGCTGGAGCTGAGCTTCTCCTGGGCTGGCCTACTGCTGCAGCTGAAGGGGAGCCTAAAGGACGTGAGCTTCTGTGGGTGGTGTCCCACCATAAGGAGAAGCCTGGCAGATCAGCATTGCAAGGACTTGCAATGCTGTGGCAGGAGCAGGACCCAAACCAAGCTATGCTCTGTGCCCCACACCTGCCCATACCACAATCCCACTGTTTTGGTGAAGGGAGATGATCAAGAAGGTGCAACTCAACACCATGGACCTAAAGACACCTCTAGAGGCAGTGCCAAGGCAAGCCCAGAGCCCAGCTCCCTGCAGGCAGCATCTAAGCCAGGAGGGCTCAGCACTCCAATAGAGAAGAAGATCTTCTGTCTCAACAGAAGAAGGTCCTTCCTCTCTTGGGAGCCAGGGAGCTCAGAATGGCCATCCCTGTGCTGCTTCTGGCCTTTGCTATCCAGCACCTCTGAGCTCAGAGTCCTTGGAGCAGGGAAGCCCTCCAGGGACAATAACCCATGGAACAGCAGGAACCCATGGAAGCCTTACTCACTTTTTCCTCCCTATGAGCTTCCTTTCCAGTGCTATTTTATCCACTTCTGCTTTCCTCTGCAGAGCTTTCTCTCGCTGCAGTTCTTTAGCACAAAGAGGAGAAACCATGAGTGACTGCAAGCTGACCTGGGTGCTCTGGGTCAGCTGCAAGGATTCACAGCTTTTCCTGACCCAGCCTATCATCCCAGGAGATATTGGGGAGCTTGTATCCCTCCCCAGAATTCAGACAATCCCCCAAGCTATGGCCGGGCAGTAAAGTCCCCATGCCCTCGGATCCCAGGAAAGGAGACTCGGTGAAAGCAAGATGAGATTGTTCTTTTGTTGCTAGGAAGGTGCAAATATAAAAGAGCCAGTTATATTAGATCTGGTCCTATTGGCTGAGAAACTCATCCAGCCCTAGTCTTTGTGGCTAAGGGACACAAGGAAATATCCTGATTATTTCCCCAGTCTATGGCAGGCAGATAGGAGCTTGCTTTGGCTACACTCAGGGTTGGTAGAGGATGCCACAGCCCTTCAGCCAAGAGCTCCTCCACCAAGCTGGGGAACAGGCAGCTGCTAAAAGAATGGGCTTTCCCTGGAGAGCAAGGTGACAGAGAGAGTTCAGGGTGTATGGGCTGGACCACAGGCAAAACAGACACCCCCAAACCCTCACTGTTTTTCTGACCTGCTGCTGCCTTGCCCATGGCCTTGGCCTCAGCCCTGGCCTTGGCTTCTGCCATGGGCTTGAGCTCTGCCTGTTGAGCCTTTGGCCTCCTGTGTGCTTCGTGGTCCTGCAGCACCTCTGGAGGCAGTGTCTCACCCATGGCACGTGGAGGCATAACAAAGCTCTTTTGGTACTCAGACCTTAGTGACATCTGCAGGATCTGTATGTGGAGGGAAGAGAAACCATACGCAAGATTCCTTTTCTTGCCTTTCATCACACAGACTCAATCAACCCATTTTCTGTCTCCTCCCTTCCTCCCAATAACACCAACTATTTAGTTTAGGTCCTCCCACAGCATGTCAGCAGAGCTGACTTTGCCCTGGGGATTGCCTTCATCTCCCTGGCACAAGCCTGGGAATGCTGGAGTGCTGTGAAGCTTGGGCAGCGTGTACATGGGGACCAGACCTGCCTTCTCACCTTCTCCTCCTCAAGGTACTGCTCATCAAAATCCAGTGAGTGAGACTCAGTGGGGAAGTTGCATGGGTTCTTCACCACCACTGTGGCCTCCACCCCATTGCTGTCCACCAGCATCCCTCCCATCTTTAGTGCTGGGGGTCTGAACTCCAACCGTGGCTCCAGACCTTGTCCTGAGAGGTGCAGCTTTAAGCGATTGCTGCTCCCACAAATGATAAACTCCAGCTCATTCTCGTAAGACCTCTGAAAAGAGGAAAGTGCAGAAAACTCATCCATGAAGTCCCAGGTGACAGGACCCCAAATACAACAAGGCTTGCCCCAAGGTCAGGGTGTTATCAGTCCCTCCAAGGTGAATGGAAACCAGATATTTACTTATGCTAGGGACTAGAGCATCTGTAGTAGTCTGGGTCTGAGTAACTGGGATGAACGCTGGTGTGCACTGTAACTGGGTATTTGGGAATCAGATGGATGTATGTACAATGGACTGTCAGACATTTTCACCTAGTCATGCAGGAGTGCAGTGCTCATGGGAAGGGCCCTCAGGGTTACAGTGTCCAGACACAGTCCTGGCACTGCTGCATCAGGCAAACACCAGCTCCATGAGAGAGGCAAATGAGCTCTCACTGGCAAGAAATAAGGGTCATCTTCTCTGCTTAGTGTCTGGCTCTGGTCCAAGCCAGACACAAGATGGTTACATTTCTTGAGCAATTAAAAGATCCCTGGGACTGTGTGTGGGCACAGAAGCACTTGTGGCCATGCTGGTACACACTGCCAGTTTCTGAGACCCAGCAGCCACAGGCAAACCACTTTTGGGAATGCTTTGTCCTTTAAGCTGAATCCCCAGCTGGACAGGAATGTGCAGGCAGGCCAGAGCCCCAGGGACTGCTGGCAGCACCCCACTACAGGTGACCGTCCTGCCATGCCCAGGAAGGTGGGTGGTGGCTGTTTGGTCTGTCAGTCCTGCAGCAGGATGAGCCATTCCAGGATTATCCTCTGTGAGTGGGCAGCTGCTCTGCACTGAGTGTCACAGCTGCAAATACAGCCAGGCAAGGGGGAGGCTGAGGGGAGTTGGGCACATCCCCCCCATGTGCCAAGAGGCAGCCTCAGAGCCCTGGTGCTCTCTGTGCAAGCTCCCTGTGGGCATTTCAAAGCACATCTCACACGAGTGCTCTGTGGGGTGAACTGAGCCACGCAGAGTATGAGGCTTGCAGAAAGCTCCCTGTGAAGGCAGAGCTCCTGCCACACTCTCTGCACCAGGCCCTCATTTCCAGACAGCCCTGACAGCCTCCTGGGCTGACACCCGCCAGTCTCACCTCCTCCTCGGGTGTAAACTGGATTTGCAGATCCTGCCACTTCCCTGGATCAAGGGTTCCTTTGGAGGGCGTCACGTCAAAGGGACAGGGCTCATCCACCAGCACCTGCAGTTTCTGACGTACGGCTGGTGTCATGAATTTGAGGTGACTATTCTGGGCACAGAAACCAATCATGTGATGTCTCCTCGTGTTCTGAGACACTGACACGGAGCTGAGAGCACCCACAGCCAAACCAAGTGTGGCCCCAAAGCCCAGAGCTGGAGGGAAGCCCTGGAGACAGGGCAGGCAGATAGGGAACTACTGTCCTCAGAGGAGGAAGAGGAATGGGTGAAGATGGCAGCAAAGCAAAGCATCAGCTAATGGAACAGGTTGAGGCAAACCAGCCTTGATCTAGACCCTCAGAACTTTCCTCAAACACACTGTAGACTCAAGTGCTCAGGCAGCCACAGGAGCAGAAAGAGCAAGAGTCACAAAGAAAACCCGACCAAGTTCCGTGTTCAATGTGGCCTGTGCTTTACCTTCAGAGCAGGCTTGTTGGAAGCAATGAACCATTTGCAGGATTCTGGGAACCGGTTGTAGAGTTGGATGGTCTCAACCTGGCACTGCCCAACAGGGATGTCAGAGAACTGCAGTCTGTTCTTGGTGAGGGTGAGTGACACTTCAGACACAGTGGCACGGATGCGGATGCTGTACATAGGGCCTTCTGTCACCTGGAGAAGGACAGAGGATTCAGCAGAGGGTGCGGGTGACATCTGCTGCTGTGCCCAGCCTGCTGCCTGCCCCAAGAGCTGTGGTACCTCTATGGGCAGCAGCACTTCCACGTCACCATAAGGCTTGTGGGCACTTTCAAAGCGCACGTCAAAGTCCACGCTGTTGTTGGGGGGCAGGCAAATCATCTGGTCCAGGCCCACGCTGAAACCTTGAACAGATGAACACAAAGCAGCTGAGATACACACAAAACACAAAATGTGCACAAGCACGTTAAGGCCTTACAGGTGTCCTGGCTGAGAGGTCTGGCAAAAGCCCCACGCTGTGCTGTGACCTGGACAAAACTTAAGAGTGCACCTGAACACCCTTCAGACACAGTGAGCCACTGTGTGATGGAAGGGCAGCCTTGCCTCAAGACCTCTTTGCCTCAAGGCCTCTTTTGGAAACCTCTTTTGATCCACCAGAGGATCTCACAGGCTGCTTCCTCAATAAAGACTGAATACAAGTGCTGTGACAGTGTGAACTCCAAACAAAGCACTTCCAAAACACAGCAGACCCCACTGGTTGGCAAAACAAGCCCACAGAGTGCCCAAAGAAACTTGCTGCTCGTGGGAGCCAAGGGGGGAAGATGCTGAGAGGTGACCAGGGTGATGAGTCCATTGGCCCCTGCACTGAAGCGTTGGGGCAGTCGCAGGCAGGCCAGGTCCCTGGGCATGGCTGGCCAGGAGAGCTCTGCCTCTAAAACTCCCAGCAGGGGCACTGAGAAGAAAAAGCTCAGAAACCTCCCCAGGTTCAGGGGCTTAAGCTAATCTGTCTGAGACACCTCCTTCAAGGCCACAGGAAGTGTCTCCAGCACTGCTTACCTGTGTCCTGCAGGACAGATACATCGACCTTGAAGGACACATGGATCTGCCCAGGGTTGGTGATCTTCAGAGAGCGTGTCTCAGTGTAACCCCTAAGGACAGGGCCCATGTCCAGGACATACTGGGGCAGCTCAACTCTGCAAGGAATAAGGACAGTCCTTAAACCACAGCCTGGCTACACATCCAAGTGGATGGAGGATACAAATACAGTGGCTATTTCTTTATTCACTGCTGTAAAAACTCAGCTCAAGCCCATGAAACCCTTAGCCTGACCACCTGGCAATGACTTTGGGAAGTCAGGAGGAGTGCAGGCCCTAGGTTTGATCAGCTACTAATGGTACCTGAAAATAAAATTAGTTTAAAATGGACACTGGCCACAGCTCGTCTGCCATGAAAAGCCAGTCTAGGTGAGTCCACTGGGCCTCCACTGCTCTCAGTGGAACTGCCTAGCCTGGTGTACAGCCTGAGCCTGAAATTGCTTTGGGGTCTAGGAATAAGGTTTGCCTGCACAGGAAATCTTCATTGCTCTGCAACCAGACCACATGAGCTGCTCTGCAGAGCATCTTCTTCCTGAATTGAAGCCTCCCATGCTTGTGCTGCATCATGATGGTGCAAAGGGACAGGCCGTGTCACCTGCCCTGCCACCCCACCAGGATTCAAACCATTTGATGTTGGGTTTTAAAGGGTTTGCTGACATGTGCAGCTCCCTTCTCCTTTTGTTCAGTGTCACAGCTGCACAGCTGTTAGTTGGAAGCAAGACTTCAGCTGGGAGTTGTCTCCTTCAGAGCTAGGCAGCAGGGACAGAATCTATGCTGTCTGGAAGGGCCTGAAGGTCTGCACTGGGTCCCCCAGCTCTAGGGACAGAACCCCACAGCTGTGGGGAGCTGAGCAGTCCAAAGCTCAGCGTGGTGCTGGGGAAGGGAGGACACTCCACTGCTCACATGCAGCGTGTCACAGCCACCAGGACCAGACCCTTTCTGAAGTCCAGGCTGTTCCCAGCTCTGCAGAAACAGGGAGCTCTCAGGAGAAGGGGACATGGCTGGGTGTTCCCAAGGGGCACCTGGAGATGGGGATGGGAGTCCCTACTCACTTGGCAAGACTCTGGCACAGCTCCTTGTCAGGGAACCTGCTCTTCAGGGGATGGGATGTGAGCTTTTGCTGCAGCTCCAGAGCAGCCTTCTCCATCAGCATCCTCATCATCTTTATCTGCAGCTGAGTGTCTGACTGAAGAAAGGGAAGACAGTGGCTGGTTAGCAAAGGTCCTTCCCAAAGCCCAGCTTGCACCTGAGAAAGGATCCCACCCCACTCTTGTTGGGAGGGGGTGTGGGGTCCTCCTGTCTGGCTGCTCAGTGCCTGTGACACCTCCTGCTCTCTTAGCCAGGACCTCATCTCCAGGGAAGTAACTCCAGCATCTTTGCCTGCCCAGACACTGTCAGCAAAGCTGATCTGGCCAGGCAGACAGACAAGCCAGGAATCTTCCAGAGCTCCAGATACTTGCCTGCCCCCAGCCTGTACCAAGGCAGCTTGGACAGCAGCTGTCTTGAAAGGGAACTGGGACCAAGCTGGTGCCTCTTGGAGATGAGCACCTCCAGCACAGCCCCAGGGCACAATCAGGCAGCTGCTGTTAAGGGCTGTAAATCTGGCAGGGCTTGGGTTGGGAACAATGAACTCCCCAGCAATGACCTGCATCTCCCTCAAAGCACCATCAACTCCATCCCTGGAGCATGGCCTTCAGGATCTCTCCCTGGGCTAGCCAGGAAGCTGGTGCAGCCCCAGAAGAGACATGACCAGCGGGGCAGCCCTAGGGGCAATGCTGAGGTGACACAAGGTTGTCAGTGGGCAGGGAGGTCCCAAGTGTCATCAGGGCACCAGGAGCTGCTGTGGGCTGCAAGGGGCTCAGGTGACATGGAGAGGGTGGCCTGTGCCAAACGGGGCTGCAGCTGTTCTTACTACAGTGCCAGAGGCAAGCACACTGGGCTGCAGGTCCTGACTCTTTGGGTTCTGAGTCTTCAAGGTCTGAGTTGTCGGGGTCTGAGACTTCAAGATCTTGGTCTTCAGGCTCTGAGGCTTCTTCAGAATAACTGACTTATTCCTCTGATTGTCTTGTTGCAGGGGTTTTATGAGCTGTTTCAGTATCTTCTCATATTTTTCATTTCCTGAAGGAAGAAAACATCCACAAAGAGAAGTGTGAGCAAAGTGCCAGTCCCATTGAAGCTGGCAAGTCCCTGCCTCCCAACACTGGTTTCTACCAGAAAGAAATCCCTCAAGCCATCTATGGAAAGTGGATGCTGCTGTTCCTCTCTGAATCTCATCCCCTGCAATGTCACACAGATCCAACCCTGCCAGAAGCCCTGCCAGCCTCTCTTACAGCTTTCCCAAGCCTTTCACTCTAGCCATCGTCCTTCAGGGATGAGGATGGCAGGCTCTGCAGCTTGGCTCCTGGGACAAAGTCCACATGGCATCCTCTGCTCAAGACTCATGAAGCAACCAGGGGGCTTGACTTGGTCTGGGAGTCCTGCAACCCTCCAGGCTCGGTGGAGGTTGGCATGAGCTGCCCTCAGGGCCTATGGTAGGGAACAAAACCAGAGGGGCCTTTCCTGAGGGCAGACAGGCAGTGCCCACCTCTGATGCTCCAGGGCAGGTCCAGACTGATCATGGGAAAGGATGCTTCTCCTTTCAGGCAGATATGTTCTGGTTGCTGGTCACCCACTTTAAGCTGATAAGTCCTGCTGAAGGCTCCTGGTAATCCTGGCATGTAAGAGAATTTCAGCACTCGCTTCTTGCCAGGTGCAAGGGAACCCTGCAGGGATGGGAGAAGAGGGAGGGAATGCATCAGAGTGTTTGATGAGGGATGGCTCAGGGGACAGACAGGCTGAGGAGACAGGTTCTCATCTAGAAGAAACCATCAGACCACATCACCTTCATGATAAATATATTACAGTATTGGCTTTCACAATTGTTAGAGTAGATACTATGTGTTTTATAATGATGACTTTTGTAAAAGAAGTTTTGCTAAAGTTTAGAGTTCGTTTAATGAGAATGTTATGTTGTGATACCAATGTTGGTGAAGAGTTGTTGCAATATTAACATTTAACCAATGAAGGAATGGAAACCTGTTGAATGTGTAAAAAAGTAACAAATGACCTGGACTAGGACAACTGCACATACTCCAAAAAGGCAGGACAGAGGAGGAACTATGTTAAAATGTTTGAGAATGTATAACCATTTGTAAATATGCATTAGGCTGATGCAATACCCAGAGTATACAAGGGCTGTTGCTGTGTTGACTGGTGTGTGCCTCTGGTTGTGGCTGAGTACCCAAGTCAAACACCCAGCGCTTTTACTTCTACTTTATTGACTATTTCTACTATTGACTACTACTACTTCTACTTTATTGGTCCCCTGTTGTCTCTTATTAAATTTTCTTTAAATTTTAACTGAGGAGCAGGCTTTGTTACTCACACCTTCTACCTTCCTTGTGACCAAAAGGTCGAGCCTCTGACCCTGGGGTGCAGTTTGTTCTCCCCAGGGCTCACAAGGCTGCAGCCCCAGCACAGCCTGATG